CCCCAAAACCCCAAAACCCCAAAACCCCAAAACCCCACATGCAAGTATCAGAATAAAAATAAGAGAAATAAGAGGTTTAGCTCTTTTTTCCTTTTTAGCTGATGTAAATTAATAATTAATTGTGAATTAAAAAAATTTAAAATATTTTAATCCAATTAAAAATGACAAACTCTACAAAGGTATTTTTCTCAGAATTGATTGATATAGTTCGTTGATTTAGCTGCTCTATCTATGTCTGGCTCTTTGATGCCATCAGTTCCTACTCAATTTTTATTGAAGTTCAATCCTCCTAAAATTACTATTGTCTATCACTTCCTTAGGAATGAAAATGAAAAATACTATCATGAAATTCCAATTGAACGCAGATTATTGGAGAGCATGTCAAATGATGATATGGCCTCACATCTATTTGTTAGTGAAGCCTATTACTTCGATCCTAAGCAGATACCTAGGAAACAGGTAAGAAAATATATTAGCAATATTTAAGTAAAAAAATATAGGTGGTAAACATAGTACAGAGACTCAAAGATGGGTATGTTTAGGCATAGAAATAAAATTAAAAGAATTAGCCCGCATAGAATTAGGCTAATAATCAATTTGATCATTAGGAAGGTGAAAATTTTTTCTAAAAGAAAAGATCACTAAAGTTTGATGATAATTATAGCGATGATTTCATTGAAGAGCCTCAATTCGATTTGGCTAATTCTAAGAAGGAGGATGATAGCATTAAAAATCCATTCGTAAAAAATATAGCTCCTAGTCATTCACCTCAGGTATAGGATATGAGATCAGCGCCACACACAGAGGAAATATTCTCTTAATCTCCAACTCAGAATTAAATATACAATCAAGGAAATGCTTATATATAAGCGCCATGGAATAATAACGCTTAGAATAAATAAAGTTAGCAGAATACAAATAATAACTTGATAAATTTTGATGATTTAGAGCAGTCATCTATTCCATTTTAAATGTCTCCTACAGATAATCAAATGAACAGCTAAAATGAACATCATTAAAATCCATAGAGTTTTGGGACTGGAGTGGGTCAATAAAATTAAAATTAGTATGATGATCTTCTGGATATGGTTGATTTTGAAAGTGATCATGATGATGGTGCCCCAAATTAAAATTAATCGTAATAATATAGAATGGATAATAATGGTCAAAATATCCATTTAAATGATGACAACGATTATTATGTCTAACAAAATGATATGCTAGATGGAGGAGATAACAATTAGGTTGAAAGTGGTGCCTAAGATGTTGGAGAAGAAGAGGAAAGCGTATACATCAAAGATAATATAGTAATGAGGAGAATATAGATAGAGGGAGAGGACCAAGAATACTTAATGGATCCTGAGGGAAATATCTACGATATGTAAGGCAACTTCATTGGTACAGCTAATGCTAATGATCTTGAGGAGATGGAGGAAGACTAAGAAGAAGGAATGGAGGAAAAGTTGGTCTTATGATAAGATAACAATAGATCAAAAATTTTAAGTAATTGACATAGCCAACAGTAAGTGATTCCTATGAATAAAATTTTTCTATTAATAAAAAATATTCGTTTATTATTAATGAAACTCATTATTAGAAAATGCATTACACGGGGTTTTGGGGTTTTGGGGTTTTGGGG